TATATGTGTGTGTGTTTGTGGGATTATCCTACTATTAATAACTGAGCGTAAATGAATACAGATATATATAAGGCGAGTCGACCATGAACAGTATCACAGGTATTATTCGGCAAAGTGTATAGCACTTGAAGTCCACTGTCGCCACCACTTGCATCCGTACGGTTGAATATCTAATCGCCCGTCTTACATTCTATCACATTTGCAGGCCTCATGGAGGACTACCCTGAAGACCAGATGTTCGTGAAACTGCTGGCAATGTATGCAACGTTGTGTGTGTCGCAGCGTTTGTTGCTTTTCGTATAGAAGATGTCGAGTGCTTTGCTCATGTATCGGTTACTGTGTGTGGTGTACTTAGTAAATTGGTGCATGTTTCTCATGTATGTGAGGGGTGAGATTAAATTGTTAGTATTGTGATAGTCTACTTAGTAAATTGGTGCATGTTTCTCATGTATGTGCTGGGTGAGATCAAATTGTAAGTATTGTGATAGTGTGTGTGTGCGCATCCACGCTCGATAGTTCAATTCATGCGACTGCTGTGCTTACATTCGACCATGTCTACCCACGCATACTTTAAATACCGCATACCCACCCGAACACCAACACAACAATGTGCTCAAAAGAAGTTGGTACGGCATAGGTTTGTATTTTGTTGCCCATCCGCCGATGGATCCGACACCAACACCGTGCATAGACATGATGGTTTGGTAGTGAGTTCACATGTATCTGCCTACCTACATCACTCCACTACAAACACTCACCAGTAATGTCCGGGGTATAGGACCACAGCAGAGAGTTCACATGCGTAAACCCACTATCTATCTACCAAACGCTTACCGCACCAACACCACCACCACCACCACCCCCGCCACAGCGCTCAGAAGAAGCTAGCCAGGCAAGGGCAAGCGGCAGCCGATGCTTTGCGGTTGCGGTTGGAGAAACAGAGCCACTACGAAGCCATGGGTCTCGGGCATACAGCCACATCCAGCGATATAAAGAAGGCCTATCGCAAGCTGGTGTTGCAACACCATCCCGATAAGACGCAGACGGACGATGAGATAGTCAAGGCCGAGAGTGACACCAAGTTCAAACGCGTGCAGGCGGTATGTGGGGGATGTGTGTGTGGTGTGTGTGGTGTGGTGTGTGCGGCTGAGTGTATAGGGTGGATGCCAGTAGGCATGTATAAGGCAGTTACGCATAGTTATATGTGGAGTGTGTTTATAGGTATGTATAAGGTAGTTACGCGTAGTTATATGTGAAGTGTGTTTATAGGAATGTACAAGGTAATTGCGCATAGTTATATGTGAAGTGTGTTTATAGGTATGTAGAAGGTAGTTACGCATAGTTATATGTGAGGTGTGTTTATAGGTATGTATAAGGTAATTAGGTATAGTTATATGTGAAGAGTGTTTATATGTATGTACAAGGTAGTTGCGCAAAGTTATATGTGAAGTGTGTTTGGACAGGTATGTTTGAAGCGTGTTTGGATAGGCCTTTTTGAAGTGTCTGTGAGCAGCTGTGCGTGAACCATGTATTTGCAAGCGACATACATTCTTTTAATTTAAGGATGCTATATCTCAGTTGAGTTTGTGGGAGGTCCGATATCTTTGCAACATAGTATACCTTGATAGCATACTTATCTCATGCCCCTTTCCGCTTCTTAGTAGCTTACTACCTTAGGCAAGCCAATATAGAATACACCTTTATATCCTGCTCCATCTCACTTTCCCCCACCTATTCCCTGCCCTTTTCGTTCCCGACTCCTCTAACCCCCAGGCATACGAAGTATTGAAGGATGAAGCTTTGCGCAGACAGTACGACCTAGCTCTCCGCGTACAGCCTACGTATATGCGTCCGTCTTATAGTGCTTCGTCATCGCGAGACTTCTACACCCCAGACTTCAGCCACCCACCACCCCGGCCCCGCCAAACCCCGTTCGAAGCGGCACGGGGTAAAGGCCGTAATGGGAAAGGCAGATCCAGGCGTGCGCCACACTTTTAATTGGGCTTATAGACCGCTAGTAGATAGAGTGTGAGGGCAGCTAATAAATACTTGCGTCTCGTGTGGGAGCTGCCAATAAAAACTAAGTCGCAGTTATTTGAAGACAGCTGTGTGTAGCTTTGAAATACGCAGCTGATCGAGTGTGCGTGTGGCTATTGACAATACATACGAGATCTCAATCGTATGACATAAGCTGTACAAGTAAGTAATGGGTATCCATGATCAGTAATAGGTGTCTGTGTTAGCGGTAAGCTGTATGTAGCTTCAAAATGTTTAGTAAATTGGGTGTATGTGGCAATCAATAAATATAAGACTAGATCTCAAATACGTGAAATGTTATATGTGGGTATCAGTGATCAATAACAAGTATCAATTTTAGACGAGAGCTGATTGTAGCTAGTAGATTAAGTGTATGTGGCTATCATAAAAAGGACTAAATCTCAAATTCTCAAGTCGTTTGTGCATAGTCTTGATGAGGTGGAAGTGCAAGTTAATATAGATGTCGTAGAGCAAGCGAAAGTGGATATCTCTAATCATTTCCTTCTGAAAATCGGCGGAATTTGTTCATTCCTGGTACCTTTTCATGGAGTGAAGTGACTGGCAAAGTCCCATATAAGAAAGCACCCAGTAAACTTTAGTAAGGAAAGATGCGCCGCTTAAGTAAGGCCTTGACACAGTTTTGTATTTGAGTTCCTTCTATTGACTCGTACGGCGGTGCCAACCGAAAATATTGCAGTTAAAAAAAATATACGATCCTCGTGCTAATGGATATATATATATATATATATACAATACGCTCGTTTATTAGTTCTGTATGAATTTAAAACTTTCGATTGAAATGGGACTGTGCTGTCGACATGAAAATATCTGTATTGGAAAGCTCTGTATGAATTTTATACTTCCGGTTGAATGAGACTGTTTGATAGAATTCACAACATGAATATATATGTATTGTAATGCTCTTAAACTCTATAGGTATCGTATTGATTGCTCAATGGCGAACTCACAGAAAACGATGAAGATAAATGATTCAGAGACTGGATCATGGTGTTTTAAAGAAATTTTATCTATATTACAGTGACAAAAACGTCATACGTTGAGTTGCATGTTCCGGGTATACTAAGCACTCGCATTCATGTCCCTTCTATTTCCTCGAGTTTATTATTTCCTCGAGTATATACATGTATTTACATGAATATATATATATATATAAATTATATATATATATGTGTGTGTGTGTGTTTATATAACCCTTCCGTAAGATGAAAATTCATTGTTCTCGAGTCTTATTTCGGTATTCGCAAACTATATTTTACCTATGAATACCAACACAGTCGTTTCAACACCATCCATATACGTCAACTTGGCATATATTATGGTGTGGTTCATGATACAATTCAAACCAGGCGTGCTGGTAGAAGGACTGCCATAGAGTTCACGCCCAAACATTGCACTTTAGCTATCAATAGTCTAAAAGGAACATACACAAACATTGAAGGGTCTAAAATATCTTCAATAAGTCTTTATCCCTATCAAATACATCAGATCAACTGTGTACTCTATTCAATAGGTTCAGTTCCGATTCGACTGTGAAGAACTTGGTCGCCGATTTTCTTCTCAGAGCTCAACGCTTTCATCACATCCTCCTTGTTGCTAAATGTCACGACGCCATATCCTATGACAACATAGTTGACGAAACGTAGAATGAAACTTATTAAAAATTGTCCAAAATAATACACTGATACCAAATTGGATAAACTGAGCTGGTGGCAGGATACGAAAGATGTGTGGAGTGCTCAATGAAACAACACTTTCTACAACGCCGCCCAGAGAGAATGCGACTATACGACGAACTGAAGTTGAACAGCAAATGATATCCCACAGCCGAAATTCGTACTATACTGGTGAGGGTATTAAACAAGCAGAGACCACCGGTTAAAAAGGATACTCAGGAGAAATTTTCAAAGCTATAATCTGTTCAGCAGAGTGAGACGGCAACTCCAATAGGGCAATAAAGCACTTCTTGCGCCAAACTCGACCTATGGGCCCAGACTCTAAGCAGCCAATCCTCCTTACCGTGGGTTTCATACAAAAAGACCCAGACATAAGCTAGCGTATCTGCTACTAGGCACCACTTGCACAAGAACAACCTGCATACCTCTGTGTGCTGGACCCCATTTTGCCAGAAAGAGACTCGCAGACTTAGCTCCACAGTCGGCGTACGCCGCTTTCAAGGTTGCATTATCGGCAGTGTGGGGTACTCTTCTTACGAAAATCTCAGTCTCGGACTCGCGTGTTGCACCTGTCCGGTCCCATTTAGGCGCCTGAGTGTAGATATAGATGTGGAGTGGTCATTAGTGCACGCGTGGTGCAGATAACAAGTCAGCACGGCCAATTATATATATATATATATCTGAGAAGAACGATCGTAGATACAATCTACACATTAATAGGTATATCTGAAGAAATGTCTGTCTGCAAATAAGCATACGTGATGTTGTGCAAAAAATATTCTAAAGAGTATCATCTTCGCCTCGAACAATAAAATTAGTAAACAGGTGCGTAAATAGACTCCGAAGCGGCTGTAGTGCATAGCTGACGAGTAACGAACCAAATATCAGAATGTACGTCTGTGGAAGAGCACTAGGGGAAGTCATGCACCAAGGTACAACAGTATCAAAGTATATTAGACCTCTCAATTGACATATTTATGATACAGAGGCATACGACGCTTCATCTTTATCCTTCCGGAATCAAAGGAATGTACCCACTGAAGAAACCAACCATTCTAATATGTATATAC